ACGCCCCCTCGGTTGAGCTTCCTACCGGGGTGACAGGCGGAGCTGGCCGCAGGTCGGCGCGCGGCGCTGGGACGCGTCCAGCGCCTTTGGAGGTCTGCTGTGATAGCCGAGGCGGGACGGCGGCGGCAGGTAGAGAAGCTAGGCCTCTGCTGGGATGCCAGGAATGGCCTCAGGTGAACTTTTTTGTTGAAGAGATTTAATTGCGAGTAGGTGCCCGTTTAACAGGGGAGCGCGAGGCAAACCACTAATTTCTCTGGCACACGTGCAGTTGCAGCTGACCTGCTGGGACGGCGTGGAGAGAGGTGGAACTCAGCTCAGCCCCGAGGCCCTGCGTGGCGATTCCACGCGAGTCCGGTGAAGCCGCGGACACGGTTCTGGAGACGGGAACCAGCTACGCATTAAAGGGCACGATTGCGTCGCAGGATACACTTTAGACTGGAGTAGTAGGAAATGGTTACTTTTCTTGGAATCCAGGGCTTCTGCGTCGTGCCCAGCGCATCTTAATTTTGGCTTTAGGAGACTTCTAATGAGGATGTTGTTAAAGAGAGTACAGAGTAATTTGTCGTTTGAAAATTAAGATGCTTAACTGTTAAAGTTTTTGTGTAATTAGATGTGTTGAGTTACTTTTGGGGCATGTGGATAGTTTTATGCCTGAGTCTCAGTAGCGTTGTACTTGCCCTGTAACTCGCTCTCTTTGCTTAAATTAAGCACATTAACTCTGCAGAGGGAGGACCAGAAAAAAGTAAATAAATAAAAATGGCTACTTGGCTACATTTAACTTTTCATCTTTGTAAGGAATTCAGTCTGTGCTAAATCTTAATATTGACCTCAAGTGCTGGCATGTTGGTAGTAGTTGCTTTTGAAGAAAGAAACGTGGTGTGTCTATTTTGCATGTTAAACCTAATTTGATACTCCTTGAAGTAGTTGAGGATGAGGCATTCAGCATTTTGTAGCTTTTTACATGTGTGATATCAGGAAATGTTTGGTAAACACTTGACAAATGACCTAGGTGATTACCTACCTGGGAAATATTTTACGTGATGGAAGGATTGTATTTTCAGAATATGAATTTTATGTTCTGAAAAAGAACAAGAAAATTATATTGTGCACTCTGTTATTTCTACCCCTTTTTTCAGTGTTATTCTGGAATGAATGTGAGTTCTGCTCAATGATGTTTCAAGTATGGATTTGGTCTTTGTAAAACCAGAATGTCTTTTGAGACTAAGAGGACAGAGCATCAGTCCACCTCCCACACACAGTCCTAAAACCTAGCCACAGGGTGGGACTCAACATCTAAGGTTGTAAGGCTTCCGGAAGCAGGCCTATTGTGTGTGTTTTTCTTACCTAAGCCTACACAGTTATTAGCTGTTTAATGCCACCTATCTCAAAGCAGTTTGGTACCAGATTTGGGCAAAACTTGTGCATGTCATCAGGGTATAAGAAGCATTTCTACTGAGGGAAGAAATCACATAAAATCATAGAAACCCAACTCTGAACAAACTGAGTTTATAGAATGTTGTGGAACAATAGTATAAGAACCTTGGCTTAACCAGTTGTTATATGTAAAGTGCTTAGAATGTAGTCTGGTGCTGAGTAAGTGCCTTATGTGTTTATCATCAGTATATAAAATGACACTTATTTTGAAGATGGTTATATCATGCTACCCACCAAGTGAAGACTCAGCAAATATTTTTAACAGTCAATATTTATTTGCTCTACCTCTGTGCTAGGCTTAGTTTTATATGATTTAACTTAATCCTCATGACAACCCAGTGACTAAACAGTGACGCAGAGAGGTTAAGTATTTTACCCAAGATATACAACTACCAGGTGCCACACGCTAGTTCTGAATCCAGGGTCTGGCACAAGTGAGCCCTTAAACTCCATCACATCCCTGGAAACAGTTGCAAATCAATGATACTTCACAGTATCCCCAAGTGTGCACTGTCTTGCTTAGCCACACCTTCCAATATTAATACCACCAACAGATTTAAATTTGAAGGGTGGTGATTAATTTGCATTAAGTAGAATCACCTTTTTACTTTGGAAGAGGATTCTCACACAGCATATGTTTAGCTAGACTGCTATACTGTTATCTTTTTAATTACTCATGGCATTAAAGCCTTTTTTTTGCTTGCCAGGTAATATAGGGCTCCAACTGGTCCAGCAGGCACTGGTGCATCTACGAGAGATTCAGGTTCTACGCTAGATCAGTGGCCCTGATCTTCTGATTACCAGCACCATATCCACCTGAGATGGATTTTTAACTTTTTGTTCTAAATTCCACCTGAATTGCCTCCTAAAATTAGCCTTAAGTGAAAAGAGATAACTTGTGGCTTCACTCACATTCCTCATGGAACTGTGTTGTTGCTTCATCAGTGTAGTTGATAGGTGAAGCAAAATTAGTTAGAACTTAAATTAGGAGTCATTTTAAGTAATGTATAGAATTATTATTGTAGAGAGCTGATAAGTCATTTGTTGTAGTGAGATGTAATATAAGGGGAAAATATTTAAAAATAAGCATACATTGAATTTAAAAAGCTGAAGTTGTATCAAAGTCACAGGTTACTAACTAATCTGTTTCTCACATTAAATAAACACTAATTTTTGGCTCCAATTAATATTGAGTGCTATTTCTGATTTCTTTGGAAAAATTAAGTTTATAGAGTTTGAATAGAAAAAAATGTCTACTCCATAGTACTAGTCTTCCTTTTAAACATAGACACCCTGTTTGAAATTAATTGAGCAGTCATAGGCTGTGTCGTGTCAAAATGAGTGACGTAATACTTTATTTCATGTCTTCTCTGTTAATGCTTTATCATTTGATCTTGGGGTCCATTCCAGAGCATTTATAGATGAGATTGTTATGAGGCCTTTCAGGTTCTGCCAGAGACTAAGTTCTCTTGGCCAAAAGCCAAGGCAATCTCAAATTTTTACTGTAATGGCTTGTACATATTAAGAATCCTCTCTAAATCACACAGGTTAGAAGTCTCACTAACAGTGGCTTGAAAGAAAAAAAAATTTGTTATCCCTTTTGCATAATAATTAGACGAATTTAATTATTTCTTCCAGTAGTAGCTAATTATGGACACACATGCGTGTAACCATGGTCCTTGAGGGATACTCTTCCTTTCAGGTAAAGTTCACCTGGCATTCATGCAATATTTGAATACCAGCACCAACAGTATGCATAGAACAAGAACTATAACTGAAAATTAACCAAAAGTGTTGGAGAAAAAAGGTTCATGGAAATTTCCTTTATTTATTTCATGTGTATTTTGATGCTGATTTTTAAATATCTGGACAAGTTTCAAATTAAAATTCAAAGTTATTTACACAGTTGAAAACATTTTTGAATGTTCGGAAAGTACTGTGTAACTTACCCTAAAGCCTTAGATGATAGCATAGATGAAAATCAGAGTCTCTTGCTTCCTTAAACTATTTTTTGTTGGGTATCTTTAAAAAGCTTCATTAATAAACTCTTTTGCATTTCTAGGACATTACTTACTACACTGAAAGAACGATTTAATGAAGAGTATCTTAGAAACCTTAAAGAATGAATGTGGCTGTCAGTGCTGTCTAGCATAACCCAAAAAGTAATAGCCTGATCACCAAAAGGTATAAAGTAGATGGAACACATCTTTGATGTTGAAAGGATTACCATTCTA